AGTGGATTGCCTGAGCCCGTGGGTTCGAGACCCGCCTGGGCAGTGAGACCTCATCTTTATAATAAATCAAAAAATTAGCCAGGTGTGGCAGCGCACACGTGTAGTTCCAGCTACTTGGAAGGCTGAGGCGGAAGGATCGCTGGAGCCCAGCAGGTCGAGGCTGCGGTGGCCGGGAGCGGCCACTGCACTCCAGTCTGGGTGACAGATTGAGACTCCAACTCAAAACAAAACAAAACAAAATGAGAAAGCAGGATTTATTAAGAGGACAGAAAAGCTCCCACAGTGGGAAGGGACCCGAGGGGGTTGCCCTGTTTTTTTTCTTATTTGCATATTTTTTTTAGTGGGAAATTGGATAATTCTTTAAATATTTAATCCTAGTTGATTTTCATTTTAACTCTAAATTTGTATTGTAAAGAACTTCCTTTTTTTTTTTTTTTTTTTGAGTCGGAGTCTCACTCTGTCACCCAGGCTAGAGTACAGTGGCCCTATCATGGCCTTTGCATTCTTGACCTGCTGGACTCAGGCAATCCTTCCACCTCAGCCTTCCAAGTAGCTGGTACTACAGGTGTGCACCACCGTGCCTAGCTAATTTTTTAATTTATTGTAGAAATGAGGTCTCGCCAAGTTGCCCAGGCTGGTCTCAAACCCCTGAGCTCAGGCAATCCTCTCACTTTGGTCTGCAAAAGTGCTGGAATTACAGGCATGAGCTGTTATGCCCGGCCAAGAAATTGCTTTTTAAGCAAGATGTTGGTCTTTGGGAAAATTGACATGGAAGAGAATGGTACAGTTTTTTTACACTCATTGCTTTCCCTGAATAGTGTTATATTTAATCTGAAAGCATTATTATTAATGGGATTGTGAAAGTTGCAGATGCCAGGATGAAATAACTTTTGAAATAACAAAATAGATCCAGGAAGACATGAAAGAGGGGGGCTCATGCTTATATGTCTGAGATAAGAACTGTTTCCAAGTACTTTCCAAAACTCTCATAAGAAATCCCTTCACTACCTTCATGACTCTCCTGCTTCTCATGGCTTGGATGTTTTGCATGTCTTGCATACATCTATTTCTGTTACAAGGTTTATCACTAGGCATTCTTTGGAATTGTAGTAATTCAGGCTGGGTGCAGTGGCTCACCTATAATCCCAGTACTTTGGAAGTCCTAGGCGAGAGGATTGCCTGAGCCTAGGAGTTTGAGACCAGCCTGGGGAACATGACAGGAGACCTCATCTCTACAATACATCAAAGAATTAACTGGGAAGGGTGGCATGCCTCTGGTCCCAGCTGCTTGGCAGGCTGAGACGGAAGGATCTCCTGAGCCCAGTACGTTTAGGCCACAGTAGCCATGATTGTGCCACTGCACTCCAACCTGGGCGACAGAGTGAAACTCTGACTCAAAAAACAAGAAAGAAAAGAAAGAAAAAAAAGAACCTCTCAAAAGATCACCTGCCTGGTAATGGCATCTCCACCAATGAATCGAAGACAACTTTGGCTTTGAGACTCTGGAACCAAGGAACTCTTTCTAAGCAGCTTATGTGAATCTTCCCCTTTTTGCCAAAAAAAAGCTTCCCTTTACTCTTTCCTCCCCAGATGCACTTGTGGTTTGTCATTCTTTTTTTTTTTTGAGTTGGAGTCTCACTCCGTTGCCCAGACTGGAGTGCAGTGGCCGCTCCTGGCCACTGCAGCCTCGACCTGCTGGGCTCCGGCGATCCTTCCTCCTCAGCCTTCCGAGTAGCCGGGATTACAGGCATGTGCTACCACGCCCGGCTGCTTTTTTGATTTATTGTAGAGATGAAGTCTCGCCAAGTTGCCCAGGTGGGTCTCGAACCCCTGGGCTCAGGCAATCCACTCACCTCAGCCTCCCAAAGTGTGGGGTTACAGGCTGAGCCACCGAGTCCAGCTTGGTTTGTCATTCTTTGCATCCTGGATTGTAATCTCTTTTCTGATTCCTGAATAAACTCAACATATTCAGTGATATTTTTCTCTAAGGCCTTTTTTTAGGTTGGGAGGATATTGCATACATGTAACTGAAGTTAAGGTTACTGTCTAAGAAATAAATGGAGAGGAATAGAGGAAACAAACCCTTAAAAGGAATGGTATAAGAGATTGAGAATGAGTGACTGACTAATGTGGTGATCCAGGTGTGACCTCACAGTGGGCGAGTGGTTGTGGTACTACCTGGGAAAGGCATAGAGGCTACCTAGTTTTTCTGAGAGGAGCCTTCTTGGAGGCAGGGCATGTCAGAGAATGTTCCCAGCCCATCCAGTCTACCTGAGGGCATCTTGTCAGCCACCACAGAGGTGAGTGTTTAGCCATGCCTTTCAAAGCAGCCACTAAAGGCCATGTGCTAGACTCAGTACTAGAAATCTGGTAGTGAACAGAGCAGCCATGGTCCTGTTCTTGTGGAGTCTTGGTGGTCTAGAGGAGGAGCTGGGGGTTGGACAAGAAACCATACCAGTCATGCCCTCATTCACCCTTATCCCTCCCTGCTGAGTTGGGCTCCCATAACCTCAGCACTTTCAGCCTCCCTTCTCCCTGCTCTCTTTTAATTCTGTAGCACTACCAGTTTCTCAACATACTACATTATTTCTTTATTAAGCCTTATTGTTTTTGCCTTTGTTTCCCCACTAGAATGAAAACTGCCAGATCTGGGATTTTTGTCTGTTTTGTTTGCTAATATAAAGAGACTAGGACAATGACTGACAAAGACTGGGTGCTTTTAATAAGTAAATATTTGTTAGATGAATGAATGTGCATGTATACTTTTTATGATAAGAGAAAAGGAAAACCAACTACTACTGTGTTAGAAGGAAGAAGGAAAGCTTGCCCTTGGTAACAGAAAAGATATTCTCCATTTGAATTTCTGATGTTTGTTTTCCCTTTCTTCAGGCTGTAGCAGAGGAGGAATGATTGTGAATAGCCTTTCTCTGTGCTACCACAACAAATTAATTTTAGCCCCGATGGTTCGGGTAGGAACTCTTCCAATGCGACTGCTGGCCCTGGATTATGGAGCAGACATTGTTTACTGTGAGGTAAGGGCCTCCTGATTTTCTTGGGAGGGCTTTTCTACAAGCGCAGACTCCCCATTTGGGTTTGGGAGTAGTCACGTGTTTGGGGAGATAGAATGGGAACTCTACAGATGTTCACTGAAGGCTGGAGGAGAGGAGCCCACATGACATCGATGAGTTCTGTGAGCTCTGCTAACGCTCAAGTGCCTGGGTAGCATGGAGGCATTCTGGGATACCCTGGGCCAGGTGGATAGATGAGCATCTTGTTGTGTCATTACTCCTTTCCTCCTTTAACCTCTTAAATTCCTGCAAGGGGAGTCAGCAGCCCCATTTCTACTTCTTCACCTACTGTTTATTCCTCAAGCTATTAATTCCACAACTGTTCACACTTGTATGCCACAGCTGTCCTCCAATCACCTAATTTTCTTTTCTTTTCTTTTTTTTTCTTTTTGAGTTGGAGTCTCACTTTGTCGCCCAGACTGGAGTGCAGTGGCTGCTCCCGGCCACCACAGCCTTGACCTGCTGGGCTCCAGCGATCTTTCAAGTAGCTGGAATTACAGGCACGCGCTACCACGCCCAGCTAATTTTTTGATTTATTGTAGAGATGAGACCTCGCCAAGTTGGCCAGGCGGGTCTTGAACCCGTGGGCTCAGGCAATCCACTCACCTCAGCCTCCAAAGCACGGGATTACAGGCTGAGCCACCGAGCCCGGCTTCTTTTCTTTTTTTTGAGTAGGAGTCTCACTCTGCCTCCCAGGTTGGAGTGCAGTGGCACACTCACAGCTACTGCAGGCTCAACCTGCTAGGCTCAGGTGATCCTTCCACCTCAGCCTTCCAAGTAGATGGAACCACACCCAGTTAATTTTTTGATTTATTGTAGAGATAACATCTTGCCAAGTTGTCCAGGCTAGTCTTGAACCCCTGAACTCAGGCAACCTTCTCGCCTCTGCCTCCCAAAATGCTGGGATTACAGGCGTGAGCCACCGTACCCAGTCACCTAATTTTCAGATCAAATACCTGCTTGGTCTTTTTGCAGCTGGACTTGTCTGTGTCATTTGACACAGTTAACAGACTTGACCCCATTGTCTTCCCTTACACTATATTCGGTTTTCATTTGCCTATTTATCTCACTCTTTTACCTCTTCTATTATTGATTCCTGTCTCCCAACATACATACCCAGTACATGAGTAGATTTTACTCAGATTCTTTTCAAATCCTCCCTTCTCTCTTTACAGTGGTTTTCTTTTTTCCTTTAGAGATAGGGTCTTGCTGTGTTGCCCAGACTAGAGTATGGTGGCCTGATCACTATCCAATATCAGCTACTCCTGTAATTTTATTTTTCGCAGTAATTTTTCCTTGCTGAATCTGAGTCTGAAGGCTTAATATTCTCCAGAGCAGCAGGCGAGTATTATCTACCACTACCGAAAAATCCTGTAGCTACCAGAACCAATCTCATCCAGTTTATATGGCCTGAATCTGGTCCTTTTCCTCTTTTTCCTAACCTCTGAGTTCATTCATTCATATGCTGAATGTATATTAATTCCTATAGGGGCCAGGGAACAGGTAGCCTAAGGTAGAGGAAGTATGATGAAGGTTTTTTTTTTTTTTGTCTAGAAAACTTGCATGTTTGTAGAATAAGAGGAGTTAGAAATGAGGAAAGGCCTGAAGATTTGGGGATTGGGGTGATGATGGGTAAGACCAGGGCTTGCAGAGGACGGGAATCTTGATGAGGACGTACCTTCTTCTGAGATGGGCCAAGGAGGAAGGGAAAAGTGATGGAAGGTCATATCTGAGAGACTTGTTTTATGAGATGTAGGAGGCCAGTCATCTGTTGGAAATGAGGGTGCTGGGAGTGGGGTAGGGACCTGAGGAAAATGAAGAAGTTTTGATCCTGTTCCCATGGAGACTGGGAAGTTTGCCTACTGGCTGGGTATGCATGCTGATGCTAGTTTGCAGTGTTATGGAAAGGAAAACTGAGAAATCTTAGGAAAGGAGCATCTCCATGGCTGGGGATTGGTATGCTGGTACCTGCAGCAGGGCAGGGGCAGAGAGGTATTTGGAGTGCTGGCAAGGTCAAGTGGAGGGAGGAAGGAAAGGGTTATGTGTTGTCCCAAGGTATCAGGTGGGAGGTTCCAGGGCAGAGGTATCTGGTGCTGGCAAGGTGAAATGAGAGGGAGGAAGGAAGTGGGTATGTGTTGTCTCAAGGTATAAGGTGGAGTCAGGTGTAGTGTCTTACACCTGTAATCCCAGCACTTTGGGAGTAGGCGGTGAGAGGATTGTCTGAACCCAGGGGTTCAAGACTAACTTGGGCAACTTGGCGAGACCTCATCTCTACGATAAATAAAAAAATTAGCCGGGCATGGTGGCACATGCCTGTAGTTCCAGCTACGTGGAAGGCTGAGGCAGAAGGATCGCCTGAGCCCGGCAGGTGGAGGCTACGGTGGCCATGAGCATGCCATTGCACTCCAGCCTGGGTAACAGAGTGTGACTCCAACTCAAAAAAAAAAAAAAAAAAGTATAAGATGGGAAGTTCCAGGGTTCCCACAGAGACCCAAAGACCTGACTCCTACGTCATTTGTCAAAGTAAAGGTAAGCACATTTGAGAAATGTGAGATGGCATGTTAGTGTACATCTGTAAGTCTTCCAGTCTGCTAGAACATGCTTAGGGCAGGGAGGAACAAATCCCAGGGGCCAGGCCCTGGGGTATGTGTGGTAGCACCTTGAGCCTTATTCATCTGGTCACTCAGGCCCCTGGTGCTCAGCTATGGGTTAAGTATAGTCTTTCCTGGCCAGTCGCCTCCTTACCTTCCAGAAAATCTCTTTGATTTGGAAGGGGAATGGGAAAAGGGACCATGAAGAATCATTGACTCAGAGCCTATAAGATAGGTGACCAGAAAAACCAAATTCCAGAGAATTTAGACAGCTGCTAACCTTTCTTTGTTTGTGGTAACCCATCCCCTCCCGCAGGATAGTAACAGAGAAGGACATGTGAGCTTGGTGCATATTTACCTATTAGGGTCCTCCTAGATGACTGACTCCAGGATGAAGCCCCTAGCCTCTTCCCTGCTGTCCCACTTTTAAGGCACAGAGTAAATGATGTCTCTTTCCTCTCTCCTCCAGCTTTGCATACTGTCTCTATCAATACTCTGATGACTGTTTATGTTTCTTCTCTCTTCTTTTCCTAATCCAGTGCCTTTAGTAAGAGTAAGAATTAGTCTTTTGAATGCTAGCCCTTTATTTTCAAATTCACTTATGTCCTCTCCTCCACTATTCTGCTGGTTTTGTGTCTTGGATGAGGTGGGCTTCGGGTCTTTAGAACCATCAGCTCACCTGAGCTCAAACTTGTTCTGCGGCAAGATTCTGGGGGTTGCTAAAGTTGAGGAAAAAGCAGTAGTGTCTACATGAACATATTCACTGCCCCTTGGTCTTCTCTTTTCCTGTACAGGCACCATTCTTCTGAAACCTTAGAAAGCAGGCTTGTATCCATGGGAGCCATGTGGAGTGATATACCAGGATGGATGAGTGATTGCTCTTCCCGCAGTGTCCTTCTAGACAGCTGTGCTTCATTACAGCCTGGATATCAGTCTGAGCATGGGGGGGGGGGTCACAGAAGCTAGGCAGTGGGAGCAGAGCTGCCACAGGAAACAGCTGATCTGCCAGGCTTCAAACCTTCCATCAGTCATCTAATGCTTTGGGAATTCTTGGGGTTGTTTTCAAGCCCTTTGTAAGTTAAGGGCCAAGGATTTATGTGATGACTTTAGCATGTGACCCTTCCAATTAGGGCAAAACTTGGTTTTTCTAGTAAATGTGGCCGAGCCCTTCTTCCAAGGTCCTGCAGTCTTTGAGTATGGAGCAGAGGAAATACTAACTAAAATGTTTTAGCATTTGATGTGCTCTATACTCTGAGAGGGTTAGTATGGCTTACAAAGGGGTCTCTAATTGAAATAAAACAAAATTAAAAAATATAAAAGAGAAAACTCAAGGGGTTCTCTGTCAGAGGAGACCTAGGCCTTCTACTCAGACCTGGCTTCTGTAGAAAGCAGACAGGCAGGCAGGTAGGTGCTTGATTGGCTTGAGTAGGTGACTGTGGACAGAGTACTGGGCATGGCTCAGGGTGGTTTGGTGCCCCCTAGTGGATGCACAGTTACTCTGCAGGCCAACACCGGAGTACCAGCGACTTGGATGTTCTTTTTCTTCCTTTTTTTTTTTTTTTTTTTTTTTTTTTGAGTTGGAGTCTCACTCTGTCGCCCAGACTGGAGTGCAGTGGCCACTCCCGGCCACCGCAGCCTCGACCTGCTGGGCTCCAGCAATCCTTCCGCCTCAGCCTTCCAAGTAGCTGCAACTACAGGCGCGCGCGACCACTCCCGGCTAATTTTTTATTTATTGTAGAGATGAGGTCTCGCCAAGTTGCCCAGGTGGGTCTTGAACCCATGGGCTCAGGCGATCCACTCACCTCAGCCTCCCAAAGTGTGGGATTACAGGCTGAGCCACTGAGCCCGGCTTAGTTCCTGGTCTAAAGGGAAAACTTTCAGTTTTTCATCATTAGTATGATGTTAGCTGTGGGTTTTTCTTTTTTTTTGAGTTGGAGTCTCACTCTGTCGCCCAGACTGGAGTGCAGCGGCCGCTCCCGGCCACCGCAGCCTCGAACTGCTGGGCTCCAGCGATCCTTCCGCCTCAGCCTTCTAAGTAGCCGGAATTACAGGCATGCGCTACCACGCCCGGCTGACTTTTTTGATTTATTGTAGAAATGAGGTCTTGCTTCCCAAGCAGGTCTTGAACCCGCAGGCTCAGACAATCCATTCACCTCAGCCTCCCAAAGGTGCAGGATTACAGGCTGAGCCACCAAGCCTGGCTAGCTGTGGGTTTTTCATAGATGCTTTTGTCATGTTGAGGAAGTTTCTCTCTATTCCTAGTTTGTTGAGTGGTTTTATCATGAATAAACATTGGATTTTGTCAAAAATTTCTTGTATTTATTGAGATAATCATTTGAGACAGGTTCTCACTCTATTGCTCAGAATGGGTAC